CCACATACTCCTCCTCGAATTCTGGACCCCGTTAGGTCATCTCCTAACAAAAAGGTCCTTCGAGCCGGATCCCGGGTGGAGTACGATTGCGCTTACGCAATTAATTGAGACAGCGCCCGATTTAATTGATTTATATTTACAATTAAATCTCGATTATGGCCACCCCAAAAAGGGATTTCCTTCAAGGGATGGATCTCGATCTTTTTATCGTGAACCACCTGGATAGGCTGCGGCGGATGCGCAATATTAAAGCCAATCTGCAAAAGAGATCTAGGGCAGACTACTCTATAGACTATGTTAAAAGGCAACTCGAGATTCTCGAGAGAGAGTGGGATGAGGCCCAGACCCGACATGCACGATTACTTGCATCGGTATCCTTGGAGGAGCGGAAGAACGAAGAATACTTCAATTCCGAATTCATGGATGACTTTGAACGAATATACCACGAGACTAACGGGTATATTTATGGACAGCTGAGGATCCTGGAGAAAATGGAACAACAGGAGGAAAGAGCAGCGTCAAACAGCTCTGCTTACTCTTCTGCTGATAACCAAGCCTCCGTTCGGTTACCGAGACTGGACCTCCCGCATTTTAGCGGTAATCATCCTGAATGGCCATCCTGCAGTGATCTCTCAGCGGTCATTAACAATCGCACATTATCGGATGCCCAACGGTTGCAGTATTTGAAGGCTGCATTGGAAGGCGACGCTTTACGTACCGTCTCCCCGTTGGAATTGACGAACGAGAATTTCTCGCTCGCCTGGGGAACGCTAGAGCAGCGTTACAATATCCCGAGACTGATTCAGTCTTCGTGGTTTGAAAAGGTGTTAAACCTCAAACCCATTAAGCACGATAATGTGGGAAGTATCACGCAAGTAACCGTGGGCTTGCAACAAGCCTTAAATGCACTTCCAAAACTGGGCGTTTCGGTTACTGATTGGGGCCCACTCATGGTTTATTATGTGTCCAGCCAGTTCGACAAAGAATTGATGCTGGAGTGGGAACAGACTTTCGACGATGCTCGAAGGTTCCCCGAATTCCGACAGATGATGAGCTTCCTACAGAAAAAAGTCAGTGCAATTCTTGCCAGACCGGCTTCCTCGAAATACGAGAATAGGAAAGTCAGATCCCATGCAACAGCAGTTGATACAGGGGCACAGGAATCATCATTAAAATGCTCTTTATGCATGATGCAGCACCGATTATCGGACTGCAAGGAATTCATGCAACGTGATACGAAAAGGCGATATTATTGGGTAAAGGCAACTTACGGTTGTCTACGATGCCTGTCTGCGGATCATACGCAAAACTCCTGCACGAGCAAGGAAAGGTGTGACTCGTGTGGCGAGCCACATCATACGCTCTTGCATTTTGAGAGCAAGACGCAGGCAGCATCAGGCGGACGAAACCCGCGTCGTCGCGATACACGACGAGGTAAGGAGAAGCATTCTAATGCTAATCCATCTTCGTAAAGCCCAATCGGCGTCGACCAGTAAGACAG